TATGAGAGCTGCAGGTAAACTACCACTGTGCAGTATGAGAGATGCATGTAAACTACCACTATACAATATGAGAGATGCAGGTAAACTACCACTGTGCAGTATGAGAGATGCAGGTAAACTACCACTGTGCAGTATGAGAGATGCAGGTAAACTACCACTATACAGTATGAGAGATGCAGGTAAACTACCACTGTGCAGTATGAGAGATGCAGGTAAACTACCACTATACAGTATGAGAGATGCAGGTAAACTACCACTATACAGTATGATAGATGCAGGTAAACTACCACTATACAGTATGAGAGATGCATGTAAACTACCAATATACAGTATGAGAGATGCAGGTAAACTACCACTATACAGTATGAGAGATGCAGGTAAACTACCACTATACAGTATGATAGATGCAGGTAAACTACCACTGTGCAGTATGAGAGCTGCAGGTAAACTACCACTGTGCAGTATGAGAGATGCAGGTAAACTACCACTGTGCAGTATGAGAGATGCAGGTAAACTACCACTATACAGTATGAGAGATGCAGGTAAACTACCACTATACAGTATGAGAGATGCAGGTAAACTACCACTGTGCAGTATGAGAGATGCAGGTAAACTGCCACTATGCAGTATGAGAGATGCAGGTAAACTACCACTATACATAAGGCATCTTGCTACATATAGCTCATATATTATGAGGGTTACCGAAGGTGAGATGGTTAATCTTAGAAGTAAATATTATGTTAGGAAACAATATGTGGGCCAAGTTACTGACTGTTGTCTGTGGTGGGAGAGGTGAAGGTGTAACCCAGCTCTCTGGCACAGTCTGTGGCGTTGACCAGTGTGTGCTCCCTCCAGGTGGCGTGGTCTGAGTGTGACATGGTCGCTGGGTGGTGCAGGCAGGTCACCATGTAGGCCTCACATGCGCTCTTGTCCGCGCGCTCACACAGATCTTCCGCTGGTGACACGAAACATGTGAAGAAGCCGAACATGAAATCTCAGAATACAAGTTATGGAGAGAAAATGACAACCAGAGAAGAACATGAAACATATTTATATATAAAGAGGCAGTTAAATAGGGAAGAACTCAAGGTGAATGAATGAACTGAGAGGAATATGTAATTAAGTTATGTAGTTAGTACACACTCATGCATAGAGGAACATATACTAACATAAACATACACACAATACCACACGCAAGTTAAGACAGCAAGAGGAAGGAGCAAGAAAGGGAGACAATATCACAGAAACTGAAGAAGATCATAAAATATTCCAAGAATACAAAAAGAAGATACAGAGTTCGTCCGATGAATAGTTACTGGATCTCAAGACCAGCAAACTAAGAAGGGAAAATGCTCACAAGAAGATGAGACCAGCAGGAAGGTATAAACTGTAACGAAGGGGAGCCACAATCCAGATAAAAATAAAGAAAAATTCTTGTAGAAAACTTTATACCAAGTTCAACCCCCTGAGACTTATGTATATAACATAACGTCAATAGTAAACACTGGTGGAAATTGAGAAGCCAAATGAGCCAAAGATACGTTATAAAGTGTGTTTTCGGTGTCAGTAGTATGAGAGAGGGAATGCCCGAGGAAGTTATAAGGTGGTGGCAGAACATTTCCGTAGTTTCAAGTGTAGATATGATAGAGCCCAATAGGCTCAGAAACCTGTACATCAATTGACTGACAGTTGAGAGGAAGGACCAAAGAACCGAAGTTCATCCCCCACAAGCACAATTAAGTGATTATATGCACGAAATAAGGCAGTTTAGCCCCTCTTACTCGGGCTTGCTTCCTGACATGCAGTGGTAATCTCTGTGTTCCTAACTACCTTCCCTACTCCCTCCATCTTCCTTCGTAACACCGTCCATCTTCTCCGTAAATCACGCCCCCCCCCATCCTATATTCCTATATTTACTCAGGAACGTGTGTGAGAAACTCAGTAATAGCTTCCACGAGGTCTTCACAATAGAGCAAGGGGAAGTGCTGAGTTAAACCAAGCGGGACTGAAGGGTTTTGAGATTGTCAGAGATGAAGTAAGAAGACATTTGCTGAACAGTAAGACAAGCAAAGCCCTTTGCTGGCTACGTACTATGATATACAAGAAGTTCCTGGAAACTGACTAACTACAAGCAATGTGGTGGTCATATTCTAAACGTGAAACGATATATTCTTAAACACTTAACTGCAGACCAGTTTTCCTAATCTGCATACCATATAATGGGATGGAAAAGGCTGTAAGGAAGAGGCAAGTAGAGCATGTGCAGAGAAGAGACTTTACTACGCACCAACGACAAGGGTTAAGGAATGGAAAATCTTGATTCTCAAACTTGATATATTTTTATGACCTGGAAAGATAAACAAATCAGACCAAACACGAAGGTGAGGTGCATGCATGGCCTTGAATTATTAGAAACTCTTGTGCTTCCCGCTCACCCAATTTAGTACCTAAGGCATTTAACTTCATCAATATTATCTATTCTGTCAATTTGTAATACAGTTATTATGTTGAAATCAGATTTCTGTTTCCTTTAATGTTTAGCTGAAGGTCCTGCCAGAAACCCTAACATATATACTTTCTCAACCCATGGTTCCTACTTGTATATAAATAAATAAGTACAAATAAATAAACAGTGATCCCCATAAGGTAATACACCATATGTCACTATACACCACCACACATAACTATACATCACCACACATCACTATACACAACTGCATATCACTATACACCAGCACACATAACTATACATCACCACACAGCACTATACACCACAACACAACACTAGACACTACAACAATCACTAAACACCACCACCACCACTATACACCCCCACACGTCACCATATCACCACCACGCATCACTAAACACCATCACCCACCACTATACACCATCACCCACCACAAATCACCATACCACCACCACGCATCACTAAACACCATCACTATACACCATCACACATCAATATATACTACCACACGTCACCATACCACCACCACCATCACTATACACTACCACACGTCACCATACCACCACCACCATCACTATACACTGCCACGCGTCACCATACCACCACCACTATCACTATACACTACCACACGTCACCATACCATCATCAGACATCAATAAACACCATCACCCACCACAAATCACCATACCACCACCACTCATCACTAAACACCATCACCCACCACTATACACCCCTCACAAATCACCATACCACCACCACTCATCACTAAACACCATCACCCATCACTTTACACCCCCACACGTCACCATACCACCACCACCATCACTAAACACCATCACCCAACACTATACACCATCACTCACAACTATACACCCCCACACGTCACCATACCACCACCGCTCATCACTAAACACCATCACCCACCACTATACACCCCTCACAAATCACCATACCACCACCACTCATCACTAAACACCATCACCCATCACTTTACACCCCCACACGTCACCATACCACCACCACCCACCACTATACACCCCCACACGTCACCATACCACCACCACCATCACTATACACAACCACTCACCACTATACACCCCCACAAATCACCATACCACCACCACTCATCACTAAACACCATCACCCATCACTTTACACTCCCACACGTCACCATACCACCACCACTCATCACTAAACACCATCACCCACCACTATACACCCCACAAATCACCATACCACCACCACCCACCACTATACACCCCCACACGTCACCATACCACCACCACTCATCACTAAACACCATCACCCACCACTATACACCCCACAAATCACCATACCACCACCACCCACCACTATACACCCCCACACGTCACCATACCACCACCACCATCACTATACACTACCACACAACAGTGTACTTACTCAGCACAGTCATGACGGAAGGGGAGCTGGGGTCCGGGCACCAGTGGTCTCCAGCAACGCCTCCGTCAACAAGGACCAGCACCAGCAGCGCCGCTGTCACCACCACACACCTCAACACCTTCATCATGGTGGTACAGGAGACTCTGAGGAAGACGTCGCTGTGAGTCAGGGAGAGGAAACAAGTTGGTAACAGCGATCTCAGGGATATAAGATTTAATATAACATAAGAATATTATATTAGATATAATTCTGTCAGGGTTCCAAGATTCCGAAATGGAGATTATGAGCTCTTAAGAGAAGACCGAAGATAGATAGTTGGAGAGAGCTTGGACAGGGATAAAGATCAAGACTTGGTAAGTTATCTCTCGCCTGATAGAGATTTAACTTCTGTAGGAACAGGTACAGTGGACGCTGATTATGTGTTATGTATGATTATTTAGCAGGCAGACCATGATGAAAATATTCCATGCAACATACTTAGATCTGTAGACAATGATTTATAATTGACAATAAAAAAATTAGAGTATCTAGTTGGACAGACAAAGTTAATATATATTGTCAGAGTAACCAGACATGTAAAGTTAAATCTTAAAAATTATTTCTTAAAGGCCTAACCAAGTTTGTAATAAAGACTGGGCAATTGAAAGCAAACCCAGGCCAATTGATAGAAGATAAGGAAGATATGAGCAGCATTCTGAGTAACAACTTTTCATGAATCTTCATGCAAAGTTGGTCTAGAAATGAAACAAAACTTAGGAAATTTTTAAAAAGATTGCATAGAATATAGTTTATGCAATTAATATGCTAATAAAACTTATTTATATAAACTAATATAATAACGTAAACCAAACGAATCTCCATTAAAACACTATAATGTATTGCCATGACCATGTTGTAGCACAGTTGATTAAGGCGCATCTGGGATCGTCTCAGACGTAGGTTCGAACCCTCATCATGGCCCTTGTGGATTTGTTCATTTGATGCATCATGCTATTGTGATTTCTGTGTGTAATGAAGTAAGGGCGAAGAGTTAGAACAGCTTATTGACAGAGCCCGAGTCCATGGGGGAATTGTGTAAAACCCTTGTTTGTGTCTCGGAGAGACTGAAGGATCCATGTGAGGGCAGTTGCACTCCTGGTTGCAAATCTTTTGACCATGTCGTGGCACAGTTAATTAAGGCACGTCTGGGATCCTCTCGGACGTAGGTTCGAACCCTCATCACAGCCCTTGTGGATTTGTTCAACAATTCATTAAATATTTGGCAGAATTTTCAAAGCATTCAAGAAGCTCAGTTTTCCTATGTCGTCACGTAATGTACATTTAATAAATCAATTAAGACAGGAGTTTCCGTGTTACTTGGAGGGTTGCTAACGTGGTACCAAATACCTCTCGATTTTCCTAATCATTATCTTGTGAATGTTCTTTCAGATAATTGTATCGAATTTATTAAGAATTCATCTAGATAAATAATGCTTCGGAATATATTTCAGCAAAGTTTCGCAAAAAAAGGTATTTTCATCCCCCAAATTTGCAATCTTTATTTTCAAAGCTATTGCAGGTACTAGAAAATTGGTTTGTGAGATAAATAAATTAATTAGCAGATAACATTATTGAGGCAAGCAGGTCTTCGGCAGTGTCCTGGTGTCTTATCCTGGAATCTGTAGGTTCTGTTTTGCGTGAAAAGATCTGCACAGAATACAAACACAAAGCTTTAGCTCTTGGTCTTCCTTATTCTCATAATTCTGTTAATTTCTGCCAAAGTTTTGAGAGCATACAAGGTGAGTTTAGGCTCAGTCATTGTCAGACTGCACAAAGTAATAGTTAAGTAGTTGGAATAATGATCGTGTTGAAGAAACTTTGTTATTGTACTTTTTAAATTACAATTAGTCTATCAAGGTAGTGTTCATGACAAAGACTGACCTCAGTATGCGAGGATGTAGGCAGGCAGGCAGGCAGGCAGGATGGCCTCGGTAAAGCGAGGATGTAGGCAGGCAGGCAGGCAGGCAGGCAGGCAGGCAGGCAGGCAGGCAGGCAGGCAGGCAGGCAGGCAGGCAGGCAGGCAGGCAGGGTGGCCTCGGTAAACCGAGGATGTAGACAGGCAGGCAGGGTAGCCTCAGTAAGCGAGGATGTAGACAGGCAGGCAGGGTAGCCTCGGTAAGCGAGGATGTAGACAGGCAGGCAGGGTAGCCTCAGTAAGCGAGGATGTAGACAGGCAGGCAGGGTAGCCTCGGTAAGCGAGGATGTAGACAGGCAGGCAGGGTAGCCTCAGTAAGCGAGGATGTAGACAGGAGAATGTGGTGTGGGGTCTTGGCGTGGTATGGTTATATATACTTGGCAAGCTACTCCCACAACCCTGAGGCTCTACTCAGTTGTATTGTGAGAGACGACCCTGGGGCCGAATCACTGTAATTTGCCTCAGCTTTTGTACCGCCATTGTTCCCAAGATGGAGCCAGAGTTCGCCTTGTCATGTCAACTATGTAAAATGTCAACTATGTCAACCATCAAACTTAAATATAGCAAAGATTTTTTCGGCGGAGACCCAACATTTGAGGAGGATGCCATGGGGTATAAGTGTAAAAAAAAGAATGGAAGTAAGATGTGAAATATAAAGTTTTGTGTCTAGGAGATGACACTAGAGTAACTGGATAATCCCATAAGAATGCTGGAACACAAAAGTGCATCTTATAAAACTGGTTTCCTTTGTCTAAACTATCGTTCTCTGAGGTTTAAGAACATTTACTTTTTCCAGATAATCCTTTTGGTGAATCTGATTTTGATATAATAATAATTACAATTGTTTCTTTGAACTAAGATTTATGGAGGAATTGTTTGTTAAAGAGCTTCGAACTATCTCAGATAAAACAACTCGTCTGCGCACCTTTACACAGTTCATATTCAAATAAAATTTTAATCTTCCTCTTTAATATTTAATGGAAAGTATTTGTGTCTAAATTTGGAAAGCAGAGACGTTTAATATGACCTGTGTCTCAGATTTAAGATATAATTGGTCTACTACCTGTTTAGTAATTATTTTTGTAAACCTTCAAGGCAGAGACTTCTGGTGATCATGGAGTTTACTGGAGCTGGAGTTTACTGAGTGGCAGTAACGCAGTTGGTAGTGCAGCAACTTTGCTTGGTATAGCCAGTAGTGTACCAGCCGGATCTTCCACCTTATAGTATTTGACTGCAGTATGATCCTTAAATTTGGGTTTAGGTGATGGTTGAGTTTTGGTCAGTTGAGCACGCAGAGCAATGTGATGATCACTGTATTCGTATTTAAGTCTCAGAACAACCAGGCACCCACTAGTGTTAGGGGGCCAGCAAGCATTGGCTAAATATTTACAATTTATTTATGGAGGAATAAATAAATTAATAATAGATAATAAATAGATAGTGAAGGGGTCTCTCTTCCCCTCACTATCCTTTGTTAATACAGGAAATGATTGAGTTTGACATTTTAATATGAAACTATTATAGCTTTACAGGATAAGTTAGATGTGAACCAGTTAGTGTTTTACCGCGATTCGAGGCGATGAAGTGAACAAGATACAGGTGAAATGTAACTAGGCTGTTATAAGCTATAAACTATGATAGGTTAGGTTAGATTGGGTTGGGTTAGGTACGGAACAACGAGACATCTAGCAGGGTGAGAGAACTTACAGATGGGATCACAGATATAGAACCTAACGCTAAACTCCGGTCCAAGTGTGTTTATTTCAAATCTTAAGGAAAAGTGACGACGCGAAATGAACGTAGGGACTGTGAACAGAAGCCCGTGGTACAGTTGGGTCCAAGAAGCCCGTGGTAGAGTCGGGTCCAAGAAGCCCGTGGTACAGTTGGGTCCAAGAAGCCCGTGGTAGAGTCGGGTCCAAGAAGCCCGTAGTACAGTTGGGTCCAAGAAGCCCATAGTACAGTTGGGTCCAAGAAGCCCATAGTACAGTTGGGTCCAAGAAGCTTACCATAGGTCTCTAGGTTAAGTGTGCCTGTGTGGGGATATTGTAGACATGTTTTGTGAAACAGTCAGCATCCTGGACTGTGAAAGATGCGTATTTGTGTTTCTGTTGAAATCTCTCTTCCACTCCAGCTTTTTCTCTCCTCTCTCTCTCTCTCTCTCTCTCTCTCTCTCTCTCTCCTCTCTCTCTCTCTCTCTCTCTCTCTCTCTCTCTCTCTCTCTCTCTCTCTCTCTCTCTCTCCTCCCTCCTTCTCTCTCTCTCTCTCTCTCTCTCTCTCTCTCTCTCTCTCTCTCTCTCTCTCTCTCTCTCTCTCTCTCTCTCTCTCTCTCTCTCTCTCTCTCTCTCTCTCTCTCTCTCTCTCTCTCTCTCTCTCTCTCTCTCTCTCTCTCTCTCTCTCTCTCTCTCTCTCTCTCTCTCTCTCTCTCTCTCTCTCCCTCTCTCTCTCTCTCTCTCTCTTCTCTCTCTCTCTCTCTCTCTTCTCTCTCTCTCTCTCTCTCTCTCTCTCTCTCTCTCTCTCTCTCTCTCTCTCTCTCTCTTCTCTTCCTCTCTCTCCTCTCTCTTTCACTCTCTTTCTCTCTCTCTTCCTCACTCATCCTCTCTCTTTCTCTCTCTCTTCCTCACTCATCCTCTCTCTTTCTCTCTCTTTCTCTCTCTTTCTCTCTCTTTCTCTCTCTTTCTTTCTCTCTCTCTCTCTCTCTCTCTCTCTCTCTCTCTCTCTCTCTCTCTCTCTCTCTCTCTCTCTCTCTGTGTCTCTCTCTCTCTGCCCTCTCATAATATATCACATAATATGCATATATACTTCGGCCTTCAATAATGATATGTTTTATTATTTAAAGCTGAAGTAATTAATACGTTTATTTATGCTAGGTAAAGTATATACGTTCTTACAGCTTGGTTTTGTTTCGATGAAATAAGAAAGTTAAATCTTTCAAGTAAACTGAACAAAGATTATAATACTCGCTGGCATAACCCTGTAATAGTTTGTGAAGGAACGCGAGACACTCCATATCTTTCTGGGCTCCCGTTCTTTCTGTGGTCTTGAGAGCGGGTTTAGGTCTCTCCGTGGTCCTGGGAGCTGATTTAGGTCTCCCTGGGATCCTGTGATCGTGTCCTGGTCTCCCTGTGGTCCTGTAACCATATCCTGGTATTCCTGTTGTCCTGTGATCGTGTCCTGGTCTTTTTGTGGTCCTATGATCGTGTACTGGTCTCCATGTGGTCCTGTGACCATGTCCTGGTCTCCCTGTTTTCCTTTGATCGTGTCCTGGTCTTTTTGTGGTCCCGTGATCGTGTCCTGGTCTCCCTGTTGTCCTGGTCTTCGTGTGCGTCTGTGATTGTGTTCTGGTCTTTCTGCGGTCCAATGATTGTATCCAGGTCTCCGTGTGGTCCTGTGATCATGTCTTGTTCTCCTTTTGGTCCCATGATCGTGTCCTAGTCTCCCTGTGGTCCCATGATCGTGTCCTAGTCTCCCTGTGGTCCCATGATCGTGTCCTAGTCTCCCTGTGGTCCCATGATCGTGTCCTAGTCTCCCTGTGGTCCCATGATCGTGTCCTAGTCTCCCTGTGGTCCCATGATCGTGTCCTAGTCTCCCTGTGGTCCCATGATCGTGTCCTAGTGTTACCTGTGGTCCCATGATCGTATCGTGGTCCTCGTATGGCCTTGGGAGCAGTGCAGCGGACGCTCCGAGCGTTAAACGCACAAGGACATGTATCCGGATTGATCCGAGCATCTGGTGGTTGCGCGTGGCCCATTGTTCGGGCATGACCGGCGGACTTAACTTGTGTTCCCAGGGAGGGCGGGGGATGTCTGGAGCCATAGGTTCCTCCAGCCACTCACTTTAGATATGGTTGTATGCACTGAGAGGCGTATTCCCCTTCATGTATATTCACTTGGGAGATCACTTTAGTCTTAACTGTGCTCAGGACTAAAGTGTACGTGCTGCTTGGTCAGTAAGCTAATGTGCAGCTATCATTATCCTGCAGAAGTTTATAGGCCCGCAGCCCAACAGGGAAACATTTTGAAATAATTGCAACTCCAGGAATATTTTCATGATTCAGGAACGTCTGAAACATGATACGTTTAACATAACTTTAATAATATCTTATTAATATCCCCCGTGAAATGTCATTTATACATATGTCACCTAACTAGTCTCCGTGGTGTAGTGGTAAGACACTCGCCTGGCGTTCCGCGAGCGCTGTCATGGGTTCGTATCCTGGCCGGGGAGGATTTACTGGGCGCAATTCCTTAACTGTAGCCTCTGTTTAACGCAACAGTAAAATGTGTACTTGGATGAAAAAACGATTCTTCGCGGCAGGGGATCGTATTCCAGGGACCATAGGATTAAGGACTTGCCCGAAACGCTACGCGTACTAGTGGCTGTACAAGAATGTAACAACTCTTGTATATATCTCAAAAAAAAAAAAAAAAAAAAAAAAACTACCTCATCATAAGAGGATATAATTAAGCACAGTAGAATTTGTCTTCGAGAATATGAAGTGAGACCTTACGAAATGCCTCGCTAGTCGTCTGACTCAATTAAAAAGTTAAAAATGAACTTTGGAGAGTAAATTTTTAAATTTCATGCTTCAGTGAAGAAAACATAAGGAATATCGAGAAGATTCCTGCCAGAATCATATATCTAAAATTTTCTGTCGTTTTCAATAATATATATATATATATATATATATATATATATATATATATATATATATATATATATATATATATATATATAATAAGATATTACTAAAGTTATGTTAAACGTATCATGTTTCAGACGTTCCTGTATCATGAAAATATTCCTGGAGTTGCAATTATTACAAAATGTTTCCCTGTTGGCCTGCGGGCCTATAAACTTCTGCAGGATAAAGAAGGCTGCACACTAGCTTACTGACTAAGCAGCACGTACACTTTAGTCCTGAGCATAGTTAAAATTATCTCTCTAGTGAATATACATCAAAGGGAATGCGCCAGAGGAACCCTGTCCTCTTAAAAAGAACGTCGCTTCTGGCCGTTTACCCGTATGGCCG